CTGGGGAGGGGTTTGTGTACCAAGCTTGTTACAGCTGCCTAAATGGAAAGAAAGGAAAGGGAAAGGGAAGGAAAGGGAAGGAAAGGAAAAAGAAAGGGAAAAGAAAAGGGAAGAAAAGGGAAGAAGAGAAAGAGAGAGAGAGAGAGAGAGGGAGGGAGGGAGGGAGGGAGGGAGAAAGGGAGAAAGAGAGAAAGGGAGAAAGAAAAAAGAGAAAGAGAGAGAGAGAGAGGGAGGGAGGGAGGGAGGGAGGGAGAAAGGGAGAAAGGGAGAAAGGGAGAAAGGGAGAAAGGGAGAAAGAGAGAAAGGGAGAAAGGGAGAAAGGGAGAAAGGGAGAGAGAAAGAGAGAGAGAAAGAGAGAAAGAAAAGAAAGAAAGAAAGAAAGAAAGAAAGAAAGAAAGAAAGAAAGAAAGAAAGAAAGAAAGAAAGAAAGAAAGAGAAAGAAAAGATACATTTAAGAAAACCATAATCATTACAAAACAGAGAAATGGAGGAAGGTAGTGTATGTCTATATGAACCTTGAATGCGATGTGATTTTTCACATCTTTTAAAAAAAAAAATTGATCTGTGTATTTGAATCTTTGACACTTTCACATTTAAAGGTCAAGGGGTTTGCCATTAACTTCAGCATCTTTTTCTGAAACATCCTGGACTTCAGAAGTTGTTGAGGAATTTCTGTGTTTTAAACTAAAATATATTATGAGCATCAATTAAGTTCTTGCAAAGCATGCATGGTATCCTGCAAACGCTCACATGCCCCTGGCCTTTTCCTTGAAGGGGTGAGTGGCACCAGCTCCCTCTTTTCGCCAGGGGAAATCAGAGGTCTCCCTTCTGCTCTCAGCCAGTTTCCCCTCACCAGCCCCCCAGGTGCTGCTTCTAAACCTCTCAGAAATAGGAAGGGAATGTGAAATTGCTGGGGTCAGTTTTGAAGCCAGGAAAACAAATTTTATTTAAGCTATAGGATTTCATATATGCGCGGTAGCGCTGCGAGTCCAGATAGAGTAATTGTATTATATGCTGCTTTCTGATACGAATTCTTTTCATTTGTACAGTATTGTACCTATTTTTTTACTCATTCTAAATCGGTGTATGATGCCAAGTCCTCGACATACACTTTTTGAGTTATAAACCCACTTAGTTAAATTACGCTTCCCATCCTAAGAGGGGATCTGGGTCCGCTCCCTCCCAGTCAAACCACTGTAAGAGCTGGTTCTGGAGCTGGACCATAATCGTCCTTGAGGTCCAGAAAAGCATGTGCTGGAGGGTACCAGCTGGGAGAACTGGGAATTAGGCACTCCGGATGTGTGTTTTCCCCCATGGAGACGGAGTAGATCAGCATCTGTTTCGTGATTTTTTTTCTGCGGTGAATTTCAATATTTGTAGGAATCGGCTCCCTACAAAATGTTCTCCGCGTCAGAGAACGGGCTGACTACGTGCCCAGCTCCTCCGCGCAGCCTGCCCTCCTCGCCCCCCTGCCCCGTGCGTCTCCAGCTGCAACCCTGTCAGGGCAAAGACTTTGCTGGGGGGGGGCGGGGGGACGTCTTCAGCAGCGAAGTTTCTTGGTGCTTCCCGAAAGCGTTCATGAGCGCTTACTTCCTGCCGGAGCTCTGCGCTCTCTGTCAATGGAAAGTAGCAAAAAAGCCCAGAAGAATCCGCCTTTTCCTGGAGAAAAAAAAAATATGGTTATTCCCCAGCAAGGGAAAAAAAAACCAACCCCAAACCCCCAAAGGGTTATTTCCCAGCGCCTTGCACGCTGAGCCCTAGGAATGAGTCAGGCTTCTCAGT